TTTTGCGGTATTTCATTATCGTAGAAACTTTGTTCCAATGGCGGTTGATTTTATATCCTTTAATTATAGATGGCAGTCGTTCATTATATATATCGTATACAAGATAGTGATCATGACTTCGTTCGCCAAATGGCAAACTCATACATAACCATAAATATCCACGCTTCAGTGTATGGTTTTCCATTTAATATCTCCGGACCCATATATGGAAGCACCCCGTAAATTTCTTGCTTGGAGTTTTTTGTATCCGCAAGCACAAAATCCGCAAGGAAAGCGTCAATATCACAACGTACAAGTTTCTTTTCGTGAATTTTTCTCAAACCACAAATAATATAAACCAGATAATCTAATTTTTCTCCCAAGTCAGTACTTCGTAGAATTAATATATTCTCCAACTTTTACATATTCGTATTTGTATTCATAATAGCCAGCTTCTGCATAATCCATTACTGTCAAGTATTCATTCGTAGCTGGGTTTTTAGTTATTCCATAATAATTTATTCCAAAGTAAACATATCCGAATCTATTTTTGAAAAATTAATACAAAAAGGTAACTTGCTTACATTTTAGAAATTCTTTATTTTACCTCGTTTATAATTTGCTTTGAATCACGTAATGATTTCAACACAACTTCCCGTTCTCCCTGTCGCATAAATTTATTTTCCCTATAATCCTACTTTTTTAATGGTCCGTCCAACCAGGATGCTTTATAAATTGATCCAAAACCACCTTTTGCAAGGTATTCAACGTTGGCAAATCTTCAAAAAGGGATCTATTCGAACGATTTAACGTCATCGTCATTAATGTTATTGCATTCATTTATTAGACTGTCGATATCTTCATTTCCACTAGACCATTCAACATAAATTCGTTTGTGATAATTATTGCATCCAACACAGTACTCATTTTCTTGGCAACGAGTACATTTACTACAATCATGAGCGTGAGCATTGTGAACTAAACACTCATCGCAGTAACCCCATCGTTGTCAATCGTAACAGTTATCACTACAATCATGAATATTGTGAACTGAACACGCTTTGCAGTAGTTTAAGTAATAGTGTTGACACCGATGACATTCACTACAATCATGAGTATTAGATGCCATCTTTTGTAAAAATGATTCATGTATGAAAAATAATACCGGGTCCAATAACGATAAATCTGATCCCTGACAATTGGTATGGTGCATAACGATAACATCCATCAAACAATTTAATGTAACTTTGAATTCTAACGCTAACGCTAACTTTGACAAACTAAACCGTAAAAATGATATAAAGTAATAGTAATTGGTAGTTCACGAACGAATGAGAATCTAGCCAAATGGCTTGAAATATTTATTGAAAAAGCTTATGCCCCACAATTTTTAATATGAAAAACTTGCAAATGTGCAGTAAGAGATAGTTCAATTCATCGATGTTCCAAACAAAATATTCCAAATATTTCGTTCTCGAAAGATGACGTTGCATGTTACGATATTTTATCAATATTCCTTACTATCAATAATAAGTTTTTGATTGGTTCCACGTATGCAAACAGAGGATGAGGACAGATTCTGGTACATGTACGTAGTTCCTTGTCATTCATACATCTGATGTACATGTATTTCGCTTCGACACCAAGTTCGGTCAACTAAGCCGCAGAAAATAAATTCGGTTCGTCAATAAAATCTTTGTAAGACCTTCGATTGACTTGAAATTGAAGCTTCGGTTGTAAGGCGATAATTGTCATCGTCTTCGACTAGTTGTGTTTCTTTTGTTAATAAGAAATCAGAAAAAACCGTCACGAAACGAAATTTTTTGGTAACGAGAATCAAATAAAGTGTTACAATTGTTTGACACTTTGAATATTTAATAAAGTCGTTGAGTTTAATTACTTGAAGGAAAATTGCGATATGCAAGCTTTCGAACAATAAGACTCGGCGTCAGTAAACCTTTAAAACAAAAAAAAAACGGTATTTCTTGACTACGTACCAAACAGCAATAGACTAAAGAATTCCTACATGGCATATAATTTGAAAGAGAAACACAAGAATCTCATGATTTTATTTCTTCGAGTTTAAAATTGTCCAATTAATACTTGAGCATCTGCTGCAAATTTTGTTTGTTTCCTCGCATTTTCAATATCCCCAATCTCAGTTCCATTAGGAGTTCTCACCACCACATCCACAAGTTCTCCAGCAGCAACACTCGGTCGATTACCATTTCCTTGATACCGATACGCTTCCATTTCCTGTATCAATCCTTTTCGCCACAATCGTCGCCCCATTGTGTCTCGAAGAACATGTATCAATTTCTGTATTAAGAAAGCTCCAATTATTGCAACTCCTATCACTCCGAAATGATATCCTGTGACCTGCTCTCTCAAATCTAAAAATTGATACGGAAATTGCTGACTTCTAAAAAATCATAGATCTTAATAATTCACTTGAACATAAAAAATTCAATCAAATATGAGAATCGCTTACATGGCATAACTTATCCATGTTTCAAATAAATAAAAAACCAATATCGCTAAGACGAAAATCAAGTGTGACATGACCAGTGGCATTCTATTTAACACCACTTCAACGATCATCATAAAAAAATCAACACCATTCATCGAGATTTGGTTAAATGTTAACAGTCTCAAATGTGGTGAAGATTCTTCAGCATAATTCGGAACAAGAATTATCCAAGAGACAAGTGGAATTAAAATGCTAAAAATAAATAAATAAGTAAACGTATCGATTTTAATTATAGCAATACAGTCATCCCTCTATACACACCTACAATATATTATCGGAAATTCCAAAAATGAATTTGTCACTTTGGAACCCATTCGAACAAAGATATCACCGTTAGATTCGTCTCGACTATACGAATCTAATGGTGATATCTTTGTTCGAATGGGATCACCGGATGTCGAGATATCGGGTTCCAAAGTGACAAATTCATTTTTGGAATTTCCGGTGATATACGTGTATATATCGATATCAGCACACGCTATATAAGAACAACCTCTTTATAAGCCCAACCGCCTCTCTATAGGAACCAATTTTATGTCCCGACCACGTTCTTATAAAGAGGGATGACTGTAGTATCATATGATAGAAAAAAATCCAACTTACTGGTATACTACAATGGCATCATATAATATCCAAAAAGCAATTGTCAGCACTTTTGGCTGAATGGCAAATGATTTTGGCTCACGATATATTGCAAAGATCAAAGAATGAACAACTGCCATCTATAATTAAAGGATATAAAATCAACCGCCATTGGAACAAAGTTTCTACGATAATGAAATACCGCAAAATACGCCGTCAGTCCAAGAAATCCCAGATTCGTAAAATATGTCAAATACGAATGTAATCTTCCTCTTCGGTCATGAACGTATATCGATAAAGCCAAAGTAATCAAACTATAAGTTAAAAAGATCGTTCGAACTGTTAAAAGTACCAATGGCGTTGTGAACCATGAAGTAACTGCTCTTTCGAAATGCCGTAATAGTTTATTGAATTTCCAGAATGATTTCTCAAAATCAGGTGATGGTGGTGTCATTCTAAATAAAGTGTTGCTGGATATTTGGGAAATATGTGAGATTGAAAGTGTGAATTTATTATGCACCAATTGGCATTTTAAGTTATTGCGAAAATACGTAACACGTAGTCACTATCATATATTACATTCTTTAGATATATGGCATAGTGAAGAATGATATCGATATACGTCATGATGATATAATAATGATATCGATAACCGATGTCAAATATGATGTGCATTTATTCTAGAATCCAAGTTCATGTATTAATATTTAAATAGGAAGAATTAATGAATTATTACAAATATGGTAAGTAAAAAATAGAGATAAATTTAACTGAAGTTATCGCTATTTCATCATATCATCATCAGATCACAAATCAAGATTAACAACATTCGGATTTGGCTCCAACAATTCAAGGATTTCAGTGATTGTTTCGGGAAAAGTAGGATACATTGCTGAATTTGATGTGATGTTTTTGAATCCTTCAGTTTGCTTAACCTCCCGGAAATGCTTGACCAAAAATTTCAATATGTAATCCTTGAGTTCGGGATAAGTCCAATCCGTACCAAACAAAGTCTCGGCTGCATTCGAGATACTTAATTCATCAAAGATCCTTGTTTTCGCTCTTTGTCGAAGATCTTCAATGAGATATTTATCGGCGACACGAAACATCTCCAATGAACTTGTATGCGAGTCGTTAGCATTGTTGAAGGTGACTTTATTCGTGTATAGAAATTTCAACATTTCCAAGAATGTTACGTGGTGGAAATCAGTGACCTCGATTTTGAATCGATGATGATTCACTTTTTCCAATAGTAAGTCAGCACCCGCTTTCAGAGGTTGTTGCTGCTGTTGCTGTTGTTGGATAATATGATGGTGATGATGGTGAGTGTGGTGATGTGGTTTTTTGGAATCATGATTGATGATAATTGGATCATCAACGTCATGAGCCGCTATTGCCATTATACGTGCGCTCTCCTGGCCAAAATGAACTATGGTAGAAGAAGAAGGGGTTTCGCTAGTTTGTGAATCATTAATTTTTGAAAGTGAAGACGTCGCTGTTGATTCTGACCATTTTCCACCAAACATTCGCTGAAAATACTCTGATCGCTTGGCCAGAATAGCACTGTTAGCATAAATTGTGTGGCCATCAACGTTGAATTCAACATCGGCAATTTGAGGCTCCGTCAACTGCGATTGCCACGCTTCCAATAAATCTTTTGGTATAATTTCACCGGGCAGGGTAGCTGTATGCCTAGAGAGACCTATCTCGGCTTTGTCAAATTCCACTCCCAGTATCACTGAATCATGCGATAATGCTGATTTCTTGCAGAATTTGCGACGTCCTTTTTTTTGACAAATTTTATAAAACTTTTTAAATAATATTATTATTCAAAAAAAATTATTAGAGAAACTACGATACCCCAAGTATGTTCCTTTGCCGAATAATTATTCATTGTCATCGAATACTTGTCAATTTCTACGTGCGATATTGGATTTTTGAGAAAAAGTCTAGCCGATAGTAATGATCTCTTAGCCCAAGCCGCTGTTGTATTATCAGCTTCTTGTGGACTGGGAATTGCACCCAAGAACACCGAACAGTATTCATCGTTTCCTTCGATGAATTTCTGTTTTCTCGAAAAATCATTAATACGAAAATCACCGATCAAAAAATCAAAGAATCCGTTTTAATAATACCAAAAAAATCACAAGTATTTACCGGGTCAAATCGTAGCTGCCAAAACATGTGATTGGCAGTGGCAAACGGTGGCGTGTAAAGTGGTTTACTAAGTTTCGATGGATTTAATATGGTAAACTCGAATACACTTTTGCTTGTGAAAGCCAGGTTATTATTATTGGTGGTAGTGGTGTTGTTGTTGTTACCACTATTCGGACTATTATTGGGGTTGTTGAGATTGTTGTTAATATTCATATTCATATTTTCTGATGCGTGTTGAATTGATGATAGTGTTTGTGTGAGAGAAGTGAATTATTATTACATGTACCATTACTACGTATTAGATGTGTGTTGCCGATTATAAATAATTTGTGCCGATTGATTAATTGATTGATGCATCGATACGCATTACACTAGAACGAGCGGAAAATAATAATCGGCTATTCTTTTCATGATATTTCTGTATCGGTATTTTTTTTTTGAAGTAATAAATCAATTTTAATTTTCACCAATCAGAGTACGTATGCGTGTATACTGAATGCACATTTTATTATGAAAATGCTCATGCAGTACTTCGAGATATACCGATACATACAACAATGAAAATTTCAATGACACGTGAGCAACAATTGCCCACCATCAATCGAAAATTCGGTTTGAAAATCGAAACCCTTTATGTATCTCGCATTGCTTTCTAAACATCAATAAAGATGATTTTTGCTTTATTTAATTGTTCATCCCCACACAAAATATTCCATATCGATATACATTTATACCGTAAACTATCACTTTTGTACATATGTATGTCTTATCTTGCATCTTTCATGCAGCAATCAGACAGTGAAAGAACTACGTAACTAATAAAGAACAAAGCTAGTAAATATACCATAGCGATAGAGATAGTACATCCAACAAAGTCTGGATAAAGAAGAAAAGGGAATAACAACAAAAGAAAAGTAAAAAATCTTGCAACGTCAATTCCTCCAGAAGTTTCATAGGAATTTGTAATATTCTCGAAAATCTTGTTGCAATTAATGATGCCTGACGAAACTATTTTCATAATGACGAAAGGTTTCGTCACGTCATTCGTCGGACAAAATCCATGACGATTGACGAAACCTGTGACAAAACAATCAAATTAATAGCTTAAATCACGTGTACCAATCCTATTCGAATCTAATGAATTTTACGTCATTATAAATCTAGTATGTGTTTGATTGGCTGAAGGAAATAGACGATCAAAATTATGAAAGTGTATAATTTTAAATATATACCTCTGGTAAAAATTATGCAAAAAAATAAACAGATACATTGATAAAGCTATTGTTTTTATAATTTAGTTTGCCAAACTCATTCGCCACTTACATTTCTAGAGGGCCATGGCGAAGGTTTCGCGAAAATCAATCTATGTACGTACATGTATTATCGTTATTGATATTTAACGTTAAATACGTATGCATTTTGCGCATTCGTTAATTTCCAAAAATGGTCATCATCGTGAGTTACGAGCTAGTATTTTATTGGTCAGAAGGTTTCGTCATTCGTCACAGACATTTTCAAAATGGTCGTTTCGTCAAGTATCATCAGTTGCAATACACGTCGCTCTTGTTGGACCGGAAATAGCCTATCGGTAAAAGGTGTGTAAAATAATAAAATCTCTTCTTTAATTTATTAAATGCATGTTATGAGTGGAATGTGCTATTTTTATGTGAAATTTTACGTAACTTTAAGATATTTTTTTAAAAAGTACATGCACATGTACGTATTTACGTATAATCAAAAAGAGCTGTATCTTAAATTGCACGTAAAATTTCACATAAAAAATAACATATTACACCCATAACATGCATTTTATGTACTATACAAGAGCCTTTATTATTTACACATCTCACTTTTCATGTATAGAAATCGACTAACAATAAATGTATGCTACAACATCCAAACGCATGTTACATGTACATGTAGACGTAATGCCGTTCCTGTGTCATAAATCGATTTACAAACACAAACAGAAAGTAAAATACATGTACTGTACAACACATAACGATAACGACAAAGTGAACTCAAGGATGGAATAAAACACTCATGATTGTAGTGAATGTTTTTGAGTGTCAAGAAGATCGGAAATGTAAGCGGTGCAGAATTATCGAATTTGTGCAGGAATCACAGAGAAACCTCACCAAGTGCACCCTCTATAAATGCGCACACTATATACACCCTCCCTAAATGCACGTTATTGCTCATTCCCAAACTTGTAAGGTCTCTAATTATTTACTCTCTATAGATGCACACTCTGTATTTTTTAATATGGTACCAAGGGGGGGGGGGGGGGGGGCACTTAGAGAGGTTTCTCTGTACAATAATCACAGGTATTGTCTGCAAGTGAATTATTTCGTGTTACAAGAGTTGGGTTTATATTTGAGGGATTTTATATTTTTATTTATAATTTCATGTAATAGAAACATATTTAAAGAATGATTTCAAAGATGTTTTTATTATATGTACGTACATGTACGTATTATGCTCGACGTATAACATTAATTTTTTCGAGCTTTAACAATATTATTTTTCGTATTTTTATAAAAGTTGTGTTCAATATATTAGTTTATATTCATATACATTCTCTTTTCTAACTTTTACCCTTCAGACAAAAAATGACGGTCTTTCTGGTTATATTTCTCGCGTCTTTATTTCTGTTTTAGATTGATTTAGTTGTTTAAACAAACTGTAGAGCGCTGACTATACAGTCACCGGCGAAAGTAACGGGGTAAGATTGTTATATAAATTTTACTATAATACTGCCATTTTTATAGAGGCAAATATAAAGTAATGAATTTGCGAAAATCTAATAGCAGCAAATCATTTTCCCGATAACAGGTTTTTAACATTTTCGAAACTTATTTTCTCGATAATCAATGATAAAATTTTTGTAAATTTATATTCGCTTCAATATGGTGCATAAAATCTAAAGTCATCAAATGTTTGTATTTTGTAAAATGTATAAACTTTACTAAGAAGTAAATACAAAATTTAATCGTGAATATGCTCAGAAAAGACCTATTCTATCATATTCACGGATTAAATTTTGTATTTAATTCTTAGTAAAGAAGTTTTATAAAATACAAACGTTTGATGACTTTAGATTTTATGCGCCATAAAACGAACATTTTGGTAGTGATTTCATTTTAATCAGAATAATATTTATCGAATTATTGCGAAGTTTAGGTTTTTGTTTAGTTAAAAATGTTCAAGCTACAATATTTAATGATATTCGAACTTACATTGACAAAGAAAGAGAGCACACCAAGTACGGGCATAATGGCCTTCTCAGAGGCACTTTAAAACTATTTTTAAATTAAATATAATAAAAAATTAGCTGCCATTACTTTCGCCGGGGACTGTAGTATCCCCTATGTACAGTTGACTCTATGGTAAAGTTTTCGTTCAATTAGAGAAAAATTGACTATATCAATTGTTTATTAGTAAATTATTGGAGAAGATTTTATTATAGATGGTTTTGAACTCGAATTTACTATCGCAAGAATTTAATTAGTCTCTACTATAACAAACTTTATTATATGAGCGAGTATTGCTTTTAAAATACTCAGGTACTAAATAGTGTTAGTACAGGATGTACGAAATAGTAACAGGCGAAAGACCATTCGGTGAGCGGAGTCATGATATATATCTTGTATACGATATTTATAAAGGAGAACGACCTAAAATACCAGAAAATGTTTCCGAATGGTGTAAATTTATTATTGAAAAATGTTGGATCCTATTCCAAAAAACAAACCATCTGCTGAGGAAATTAATGATTTTATTAAATCTATTCTCTGTGTCAAAGGGAATAAGAAGAATAAGCAAAACACTTTGCATTTTCAGTACTACAGCTTTTCAGAGGGCAAAAAATTATTGAATATCTTAGATTAGAAAGAGAAAAGTACTTGATGGGAAGATGAAATCACAAAAAAGCATTCTTACAAAAAACAACAAATACATCCAAATGCAGTTTATACGAGTCGAATCTTCACTCCAAAATCAATTTCAATTCTGAATGACGCAGGTACCTTTTTTTAATTTCTAATATAAACCACATTTGACGGTTCATGTGAAGCAAACTTATTTTGGTGCTACAAGTGTCAGTTTGTATGTTCCAGACGAAGGTAAAATTATTATTTTAAGTGCGTATAAGTCTATATATTGAAAATAATTGTTTGACTACTGAATTTGATATTAATGTTGCCGAATCTACATGTGTCGATTTGAATGTTTCACAAGAGTTTGTTGTGAATACGTAATGGAAAAGATGCCCGAAAGAACATCCAAACACGGCGTAAGTTTTTTCTCATTAACAACGACGAGTTTTAAAAGATTATATGCTAAGATTTTAACAAAAACTAGATTTCGAAGAGCATAAAACGAACAGTAAACGTCCTATCGAATACGTGTCGGAAGAAGCAAATAAAAGGGGAAAGAATTCATTTTTATCGAATTAAGAGAAAGTAATATTAAAAAATGCGAGAAAATCAGTAGAATATCTTACAAAACGAGGTTTTGGAACAATCACAAAGCAATACATCCATGACAAAAGGTGGGATCTGGAAAAAATATAAATGCAAAGTTGCGTTAAAATTATTACACAATTCAAAGCAAAATATACGCGCGTTATCGTTATAGAATCACATTAAAGGGATAAAAAATATAATTTTTTAATTTGTTAGCATAAAAAAACATTAGCGTTAGAAGCAAATTATTATCTTCACCCTTCCCCAACCCGAAAACGTCGTTTGGAGTCAACAAGTACAATCACTAGTCATATGCTACAGTAATTACATACATCAATTATAATGAAAAAAAAATGGGAAATCTAAATTATTCATTTGACGTTATCATTATACGTACTTTCTACTACTACCGCTACCGTTTAAGCTTTTTATTGCTCCATTTATCTATAATTACGTATTATCACTATACATGTTCTAAAACACCAGGCATATTTTGAGGATTAGGTTAGACTAAACATCGTTTTTTATTTTGATAGATTGTCAAGTGTTTAAATGTAATGTTACGTAATTCTATTTTAAAATTACATTGCATTTTCAGTTAAATATATTGGATGTCAACAAGTAAAAAAAGTCGCAAGTTTGTGAATGTTGATTGTATACAGATCGATATAACGTATTTCTTCGTCTCAGGAATATTCTTACGGAAAAACATAAAAAAAGGATTCCTTGGATATCAATAGAAAGCAGACGCAAAATTTTTATCAACTTTATTCCAAGAAAGTTTCACCATCATAAAAAAATAATGTATTCATGCGTCAACAGTCATATCAATAGGAAAGGTCAAATTAAGCACGACGTATCGGTATCTTTTCTTATCGGTATCGTTATACGTAAATAAACATTCGATGAAAATTATTTTCCATGCGAGTATTTATCATTTTTTTTTTTGATATATACATGTACATTAGAATAATAAACTGAGTGGAAAAAGAAATCAGTTTATTAAAATTTATTTCGATAGCTGTTCTTCTACATGTACGTATTTATCGAGGCGGGTTACTAGAAACTAAATTCGGTTTATGCAGGTTTTAATTACATGTACGTAGTACGTACAGTTCATGTATTTCGGTTTGACGTGTAATAAAAGGATGAAAAATAGCGACCCATACATATCGTTATGATTACGTAGCGTTAGTAATGCAGGTGGCATTTCTTTGTGTTGCTATTGTTCTCGGATCAACATGATTTTGATTATACACGTCGTTTGCGTTTGTTTCAAACATTTGTGTGTTTATTATTATGTTTATTTAAACGTAGCAGTAGCGGTGGGTCGTAGACAATTTAGTGGCGATATATTAAATCAAAATCCAACAAATTAGCAAATACTGTATCCAAAAATATCAATATGGGGAATATAGCATCAACCAAAGGGAAAAAACGAAGACCTGTAGCTGCTCTTCCTCCACCAGCATTCAGATGGATTGATGGAAGACGTTTTAATAATTTACCAAATACAGTTTATCCATTGGTAAGCGAATAGCAGAAACTTTTTCAACAAAAACATTCGTCTGATTATTTTGCTATAATAAAAAGCCAAGCGATGAAAAAGAATTAGATAGGCTTTCACTACAACATTTTCTGTATCGGTTTCTTTGGAAGGGAAATTTCTGTTCACCTGTTGAACGCAAACTGAAGACAGATGGACTTATTTTGGATATTGGGTAGGACATATCAATATTATGCACTTACTACGTATGCACGTACGTATGTACTCTATTGTCAATATAAAATTTTATAGATGTGGTCCTGGTGCATGGATACTAGAGATGGCGTCACAATATCAACGTGCTAAATTCTTTGGACTGGATTTTGTTCCTATTTTTCCTGCTGAAATCAAGCCTTCCAATATCACTTTTCTGCAAACCAATGTATTGGAAAAATTACCATTTAAGGGTACATATTAATGTGTTTAATTATCGTTATACGTAATTAAATTCTAATTATGATTATTCTTGACATAGACGGATATTTCGATTTCGTTCATTTGGGATTAATGAATTTCGCGTTCACAGAGGACGAATGGAAGTCAAAAGTCATACCGGAAGTAATTCGAGTTACTAAAGATGGCGGATGGCTGGAAATTGAAGAAATAGATACTGCATTAACTAATTCTCCATCTTCTTTGGTCCCAATAACCGATTTCTGTACTATTAATTTTATTACTATTTTTTTCTCGTCTCTTGTTCATAACACTAAATTAAAATTTACAATCATGTTTCTTCTTAAAGGGATAGAATACTTGGAATCACAAGGGATAAACCCACACATTGCCGAACACACACTCGGTAAACTACTAGCAGACACCGAAAAATTCTCCGAAATACATCATCGAATAGAAATTATTCCATACACAGAACAGGCCGGACAAACAGGAAAAATGGCCAAAGATAACACCATCCTATATTATAAAACTATCGCACCAATAATCATCACTCAACTTGGAAACGTATCTGCAACCGAGTATGAAGATGTGATGCAATCATTACCTAGAGAATTTGAAATGTGCCGTTCGTATCATAATATGCATCGGATTTTTGCACAAAAAGCTCCGGCGGAAATAGGAATTGCGGGTGGTGCCGCGCTTAATAATGAAATATTATAATTTCTTTGTTGTTTTTTTTTTGCTTTTACATTGGAAGGATATCATAAGCCATTATATTATCGTTATGCTTTCTTAAATTTTTTTGTTTATATTAAATTTGTAAATATTTTTTGCCATCAGATTTTTTATTCTTCCCAATGTGATTCTATAACGCATGTATGTAAATTAATACTTACCGTTACCACTTTCATCTAATAATATTGTGCTTGAGTTAATAATGAATTAAAAAAATTAATGAAAAACAATAAATACAATTTTACCTTTGTCAATATGATTTATATTTCAAAGAGAAAGTACAATACCTGAATCAGTTGGAATTGATATTAATTTTATGGACTGGTGTAGAGTGGACGTTGTTTTTTGTTTATATTTGTTCGATTACTTTGTCGTTTCTCCTTATCAAGTTCTTTCCACTTCTGCACTTCTAGTTAATACACTCAATAATTTTTTTATCTTCTAAAGAGCTGTAGTGCTGAAAAGGCAAAGTATTCAGTTTCCACGCCCATCGGGTAGAATAAATAGAGTAGATAAAGTTTCTCAGCAATAAATTTGCACCATCCGGGAACATTATTTATTACCTTAGATCGTACTCCTTTCTAGATGTCTAATACGAGATCATTACCATGGCTCTCCCCCATCAAATAGTCGTCCACAACCTCGTACACAATCATCCTAAACTTATAAATATCTGCAGCTTTAGAATATAGCCTTTTATTTAACTAATATAATGAAATACTCCGCAAATTTTCTGATCAGATTTTTCTATATCTGCTGGGTTCCGGCGTCTACGGCCTCAGAGTAATATTCCTCAGAGTTATTTTCTTCTGGATCTTCATTATTCTGCTTATCTGGTAGCTATCATTATATTCAATTTAAATGCTCATAACAATAACTTTTTGAAGTTTTTAAAATCCTGATCAATAATTTGAGAAAGTTTATTAGTTTTTCTAAATTCTGTCTTTATAAAGCTCCGATAAATTTTAAAGATACTCTATTTTTATTTGAGTTTAAATTTCCAGCGACACAACAAAATCTTAATACATGTACATGTAGTTGGAAATTTATTAATGATGATCGGGATTAGGGGAAACTAAATCATCGAATTCAATATTTAAGTCTATGTTGCAAGAAATGCGATAAAGAAAATGCTTTTATATAAAAAATACATAATGCAATATGTGATAGTGTATGACGCAGATTCCAGACAAATGGCTGACTCTCCCGAATTAAACGCAGAAATCCACTGCTCAAAAAGTCAATTTTCCTGGCGAGAAAATACCAAGATTAGACGGTCGACGATTGGCGACAAATAATTTGGTCCGACGAAAGTTATTCGTGTCAGACAGGCAAAAGTATAAGACCTGCACAGTAGATGGCAAAATATTAGCTAATTCTAGATGCTGGCCAAATCTCTAATATTTGTCCCTTCTCTTACCGTGTACGTAGTTACGTGTATCATGTGAGTTGTGTAGAAGGGGAAGATCCTGTGCTGATATCATCTTTCGCATTGGATTTTAGGTATAATCCCGACGGTTCGAGATCCCAACCGTTCATAAGAAACTTGCGTTGGACTTCAACAGCGGTGGAGCATTTCCGGACGTTATCAGTTTAGACAGCATTCCGTTCATAACGAATGCGTGAACGATCGGATTTGATTCATATTCAAACTTCCGGTTTCGGCGTATTCGAAGGACGGAAGCTGTTCGGATGCAATGATTTCTCGGACCTTGTATCCTTCACCACGGAGGGAGTATTATTACGTCGATCCGTGCATTTGAATGGATGAAAAAAGATTTGTCTAGCACAACTAAAATCACATAAGTGTAAAGCGACGCAGTGAAATCGAAATCTAAAAAATAAACTTACCCGGAAATAAACTCGTTATCATCATCACACAGTAAAAAAGCCTTAGAAAAGGCAAAAGAAACAAACCACAATATAAAACGGTCAAAAGCTGATGGCCCAGGGAGGAATCGAACCTCCCATCCAACGCATACTGCATAGAAAACCCACGTAATTGATCTTTCATATACGAATCTATGTAATCCGTACTCAGGCAACTAAAAAGACGTTTTCACAGCTGCAGGCAGCCGGGTAAATCAAGTCAATTCGGCCCCCTGATAAAGCTGTCTTTTTCCC